TTGAATGTGAACAAGACTGAGACCCTCCTGATTGGCTCGTGCCAGCGCCTCAGCACCTCAGGCTCTGGCAGCATCAACCTCCATGGTTGCACACTTCAACTCACCAGCCAGTCAGGAACCTAGGTATCTTGTTCAACCCTCAATTGTCTTTTCTTCCCCACATCCAAGCCATGGCCCGCTCTGCCTTCCCTCACCTCCGTAACATCGCCCGACTCCGCCACTTCCTCACCCCTCAGGCCACTGAAACTCTTGTTCATGCCTTCATCACCTCCAGGCTCGACTATGCAAACACCCTGCTTGTCGGTCTTCCAACTCCTCCCTCCACATGCTGCAGATAATCCAGAACTCTGCAACCCATGTCCTCTCCCACACCAAACTATGTGACCCCATCTTCCCCATTCTTGCCCGACTCCACTGGCTCCCTATCCTTCAGAGGATCCAGTTCAAGATCCTGGTCCTCACCTACAAAGCCCTCCATGGCCTCGCCCCACCCTATCTCTGTGACCTCCTAACCCCCTATCAACCCGCCCGCGCCCTCCACTCAGCCAGCTCCGGCCTGCTCCACGTCCCCCAACCTACCCGCCCCACCATTGGTGGGAGAGCCTTCAATCACTCTGCCCCCAACCTCTGGAATTCCATCCCCCAATCACTCTGCCTCGCCCCCTCCTTAGCCTTCAAGTCCTGCCTGAAAACCCTCCTCTTCGACCATGCCATCGGTCACCCCCCCCCTTCCCCTCCCCTCCCTTCTCCCCCCTGACCCCAGCTCAGGTCTGAAATGCTGTACACTGTCCAGTGCCTTGGGAGGTCCTCCCGACGTGAAAGGCGCTATACAAATGTAATCTTCTTGTTGTTGTTGTGGAACCTTTGTGTTTGTTTGACTCTCAACTGTCCATTAAATCTCAAATCCGTGCCTTGATCCATTCAGCCTTTCCCCTGCCTCCACAATATTGTCTGCCTCTGCCACAACCTCTCCTCTTGGGCTACCGAGACCCTTATCCATGCTTCTTATCACATCCAGACTTGACTATGCCGGAATTCCCAACTCATCCCTCCACAAGCTGCAGACCATCCATAACTCTGTGGCTCGTGCTCTCTCCTGCACTAGACTCTGTGGGCTAATCCCCCCCCCAATCGTCGAATCCTTGCCTGTCTCCACTAGCTCTTGTTATTCATGAATTTTAATTCCACTTGATATTTGTAGGACATTATTATTTAGATTAGCTGCATCGTTTGCCTATGTAATATTCACTTTATTTCCAATCAATTTATCTTTTGTAAAGTGCTTGCACGTGAATGGCACAGTATAAATATTATTATTGCATTGTAACAAAGAAGTAGATTCTATCGCAAATCATCACCTTTCCGCCTACTGTGGCAACTATATGCTGCTTTTCTCCCTGGTGTGTTTTGTGCTTAGAATCTACATGGGGATTCTGGGGTTGGGCGGCATTGAAGATGCTGTCTTTGGATGAGTGTTAAACCAGTTCCAGTAGTTCAGGTCAAAATCCCATGGCACTATATCAAAGAGGAGCAGGGAGTTTTCCCAATGTATTCCTCCCTCATCACTAAAAAGATTAATTGGTCATTCATCTCACTCCAGTGCTGACTCAGATTAGTTGTCATGTTTGTTTGTGGTAAGTCACTACGGTTTAAGTAACTGCTGCATCAAATGCAACTATTTTGTTTCATGCAAAAGAAAGTTTTTTTTTAAAAAAAGGCGAACCCTTTGTTTTTAGTGCTGCAATTGAGGCTCAGCGAGGGGAAATGTGAGAACAGCCAGAGGTGAGATATTTCAATCATTCTGAACGTCCTCAGCAAGACAGTTCCGTTCCATTTCCCTCCCCTACCCCCAACTCTGTGCTAATTCCTAATCCTGAGTTCAATTGCTGCACCAGCTCTACACAAAAGACTTGACATTCACAAGTAGGATGATTGCCAAGATACTGTTCCCATTGCTCTTTCCCTCAATTATTCCTGTGATTGAGGGATTGGGTCAGCATGCTGTCTTCAAGACATTGGTACAGTGTTGTGTGAAATTCCTGATAAAACGCAGCTTTTAAACAAAGTTTTTTGTTTTATAAATCTTGGGAGAGTAAATATGTGGTACACTATGTCACTTGATTACAGACCTAGTGAGAGCTGAAGGTATAGAGCTGGCTTGAGTTGTGTGATGATCGGTAATATATTGTGACAAAACTTTCCAAGACCAGTAATAAACCATAGTTATTAATATTCTTGGATCAATATCTTCGTGTATCAAAGGACAATTGAAATGGAGAGCATAGGTGACAAACCTCCCAAACAGTATCTGTCCAAGAGCAGAATGAACTCAACAAACCAGATATAATAAATACCAGATAGCAATGAAAAACTTACAATGTGATCTCACCTCAGTGCTCAGAGTGACTGATAGAACATGACTGGAGCTGCAATCGTTGTTTGTGATGTTTGAAGCACTTATTAAGAATATTAGCCTCCGATGATTTCTAAATAAAGTATCTATTATTCCATATATTTGTATTACTGGACAGGTTGTGATATTCTCTTAATTGAGGCCAATTATTACTGAATAATAATAGTTGTACTTCAACATGTATATGCTACCTCTGCGACCTCCTAACCCCCTACCGTCCCGCCCGCTCCCTCCACGCAGCGGGCTTCATCCTGCTTCACGACCCTGCCTCGCCTGCCCCACCATTGCTGGGCGGGCCTTCTGTCACTCTGCCCCTACCCTCTGGAACTCCATCCCTCAGTCCCTCCACTTCGCCCCCTCTCTTGCCTCCTTCAAGACCCATCTCAAGGCCTGCCTCTTCGACCGTGCTTTCAATCATCCTGCTTCCCTCCCCTGCCCTCCACCTCCCCAATCGCAACCCCCAGCTCAGGTCTGAAACACTGACTGTCCAGTGCCTTGGGACATCCCCCTGACATGAAAGGCGCTATACAAATGTAATTTTGTTATTGTTGTTGATGACATCATCCGCAGACATGGGATCAGTATGCGGATGACACCTCCGCCCACAACTCCAGGACCACTGCTGCCCTGACAAAATGTCTATCAGACATCAAGTCCTGGATGAGAGCTAACTTTCTACAGCTGAATGTCAACAAGACAGAGGACCTCCTGATTGGCTCCAATCAGTGCCTCCACACCTCAGGCACTGACAGCATCACCATCCAGGGATGCACACTCCACCTCACTGAGCTTGTCCAGAACCTTGGCGTCTTGTTTGACCCTCAACTGTCCTTTCTACCCCACATCTGTGCTATGACCCGGTCTGCCTTCCCCCACCTCCGCAACATCGCCCAGCTCCGCCTCACCCCTCAGGCCACCGAAAGCCTCATCCATGAATTATCAGATCTAGGCTCGACTATGCCAACTCCCTGCTTGTCGGCCTCCCCAACTCTTCCCTCCACAAGCTGCGGACCATCCAGAACTCTGCAGCTTGTGTCCTCACCCCTGATCTCAACCAGCTCCACTGGCTTCCCATCCCCCAGAGGATAGAGTTCAAAATCCTCACCGTCGCCTTCAAAGTCCTCTAAGGGCTTGCTACTTCCTACCTCTGTGATCTGCTAACCCCATATCAACCAGTCCACCCTCTCCGCTCAGCAGGCTCTGGCCTTCTCTACATCGCCCGCCCAGCCTGTCCCACCATTGGTGGTCGGGCCTTCAGCCCATTAGAATGGAAAATTGTAAGGTGGCAAAAGTTTAAGCATTCACTTAATTTGTTTTGCTTTTATATCTAACTTGATGTGAGGCAGCAAATGAGAGTGGATGAAAACTGGACCTTTAAAGTAAACCAGGTATTTCACTGCCATGTTGGATTCAAAAATCTCAGTTTCCATATATTTTTATACAAAAATATAAATTGTGATCTGGTTTAATTACTGTGGTAAATTAGTGAGAAGCAATTGGAGATCTCACTCCCCACCAATGTAATAGTGAGTACCACAAGTGAGAAGGTTATCCTCAGAGCATGAAATGGCAAAGGTTCCACTGGGACATTGAAGACAATTTAAAAATCAATAAAATAATTACTTCCATTGTGTGAAGGTAAGGGGAGGAGCAGCTTACTTTCTAATTTTCAATAAAATTCACTTGAAAAAGTGAGCATGCATTCAGGAAAGGTTATGTGGTTCATTGTCTATGTAAAGGACGCAGCACAGTGAGTGCTTGTTTGTCAGGAAATAAATGACCAAGTGACACCGGGCATGAGTGAGTTATGATTTCTCTTAAGAGCTGGTTTGTCAAAACTGCTGCTCCCTGTTGTATAATGGATTTATACTGCACACTTAGTCCTGGGCATTTTTATATAGAAATATTTATCACACAAATACACCTAAAATATTTGATCTACAATCTGACCATTGTACCATTGTGGTTTGCAGTGTACTGGCTTTTGATGTTGCTACTCAAATACATATTATGTGGAGGACTAATGTGTGGTTTTCTTCTTTTGAAGCCGTACTGATCCTGATTTCATTTTTTAGCATAGTGACTTCTGAGATACAGTGAGTTTAGCTGTTGGGCCGTTCACCTTGAAATCTGGGCCATGCACAGTGCTCGGCCTTCTTTGAGGTTCTCATTTTCTGTGGCCAAGCTCAGTGACTGGTGAGGTGCTCCCAGGTGAAAGTTTCCATCAATCTCCACTGCTTACGATAGTGATCTTTGGGGTGACCCACTGATCATTGGAGGTGACTCACTGACCATTGGTGGTGACTGTTGGAAGTGACCGACTCTTGCGCAGAAACACTTTTCTTTGGTGGTGTCACCTCAAATATCCTGAATAAATTGTGCCATGTATTAAATTGCTGAACAAAAATCTAGAAAGCCCCCCGAAATGGCCCCCAGAATCCCACCACCCTGTTAGTCTACTTCTCTTGCTGCTGATATTGTTTAAAAGGGGACATGTTTGCAGCGATTCTGTGCTGGGGAACAGGTGGAATACGATTGGTAAAATGGATTATTTTTTACACATTACGTATTTGTCGCCTTTCTACAGATCATTTGAAGGAACGCCTGACCCTGCAGTGAAACATTGGGATTTGAGGAGTGCTATAATCTGTGGCAATCAAAATCCAGGAGATTTAAAAATTGGAAGTCAGCTGTATTGTGCCAGAGTTACCTTGGAGGTTCGATGCAAAGTTGCTACATTTGAGTCTTGGGGCAACGCAGTACAGGTAATTATGCTCAGTCTGTGAATATTTCAACAAAACCCCTCTGTTAGGACAAGGAAGACACTGCTGTGGTTTCCTTTGATGTTGATGTGAAACAAATCGGATTTTAGGAAACTCTTAACTTCAATTTACAAGTGTTCAACTTCTAATATCAAAGAGAACTGTTAAAAGTTTGCTCAGCAGGTTTCAGGAACAAAATTTGTTTACTGGAGACCTCTAGCAGGGATAAAGACAACACGCAAATTGGGAGAAAGTTCATAGGCATTTGCCTGCAAAATGCACAGTCACATTACATTATGTTCTGGGACGCTACCCTTCGTGAGGGGCGCTATATTATATATAAATGCAAATTGTTGTTGTATATGCTATAAAGCATATACCATTTGACGTAATAAAACGCAATATCAAATGCAAGGGTTATTATTATCCAATTCCCTTTTAAATGCTCCAACCAACTCTCCAGCCCATCTTCAGCAATTGATTCCATACTCTGACAACCTGGAAAATTATTTTTCTCTAAGTTCCCATTCATATTATTATTATTTCACACTCTTTAGTTATAATTTTAAATGTCCTCGAATTACCTACCAGTAGAAACATTACCCAGCAGTGGAAACAGAGGATAAATGAAGCTCTTCTCCATTTATCCTCTTGAACCCTGTCGTTATCTTAGCCAGCACTATCATATTACCTTCAACCTCTCTGCTCTAAAGGAAGGAATCCTAACCTCTTCAGCCTATTCTCCTAGCTACATTCTTTTATCTCCAGTTATCACTCTTGTGGATCGCCACTGACCCTTCTCCATAGCTCCCAAATACCTATTTCTAGTGCAGCATTCAAAACTGCCCATAATATTCCAGTGGTAGTGCCAGCCAGTCATTTGCCTGCCAAGTTTGACAAGACTTCATTCATTTTTTTTCCTTTGTAGTCATACTTAATAATAATAATCCATGCATTTGAGATGTCATCAAGACTTCTCAAAGCACTTAAAAGGATACATTGTAAAGTGGATTGAGTGTGTAATTTGTGGGCAGAATGTAGTAGCCGATTGCACACAGCAGTATCCCACAAACAGCCATGGAATGAATGGCTAATTTTGTTTGGGGGATTGTTGGCCAGGACACCAGGAGAAACTCCCTTCTCTTTTTGACTAGTGCCCACATTAATGTCCAACTGAACAGGCATAGAGGACCTCAGTTTAATGTCTTATCCATCTCCGACAATGCAACATACCCCCATCTTAGATTATGGGATTTCAATTCCTGACATGGGGCTTGAACCCACAACCTTCTAACTCTGAGGCGAGAGTGCTACCACTGAGTCAGGGTGACAGACATGAAAATAATTTACATTTTTAATTCCAGTATTGTATAATTTTATACTTAAAATAATTTACATTTTTATTTCAAGGATTGTATAATTTTATTAATCTTTGATTCTGAGGAAATTGCAGACAATTCCAGACAAACTGAGGCCAGTTTTACTCAGATCTTAAAAGTAATGTTTTAACAATATGCTGGTAAACATTGACAGTAGTAAATTAATGCTGTAAGGATGCTGCATTGACATTTATGTCAATGAAGCTTGTGTCTGCAAACAAACAAAGATTTGCTGAACACTTGTTGTAACAAGTAAGACTCCACAGCCACTTCCCACACAAGCTGCAATGCTTCCAGAACTGCAGCCTGTGTCCTCTCCTGCACTGTGCTCTGGATGTCGATCACCTCCATCCTCACTCGATTTCATTGGTTCCCCATCTTACAGTGGATCAAATTCAGGATCCTTGTTTGCACATTCAAATGCCTCCATAGCCTTGCCCCAACCGACAATCCCACCCTCCAACTATACTGCTCTGCTGGTCCTCAGCTCGGTAAATAGCATCGTTGAGTGAGCGTTCAGCCATCCTTTCTTGACGCTCTGGATCTCCATCCCATCCTCCTGTTTTACTCCCTCACCCCAGCTCGGGCTCCCAGTCAGCTGTGTGAAGCTCTTTGTTACATCCTCCCAACGTGGAAACCCACTACATAAATTTAAACCGTGGTTGAGTAATCCTGGTAAGTGAATTCTACACAAGGAACATAACACTAAAATTAAAAAAAATCTTCACATATGGATGAGATGTTCAGAAGCGAGATAGATAGCATCTTGAGAAGTAAGGGTTTAAAGGTATTCAGGAATGTGGGGACGTAGGATTAATAATAGCTGTCATGATGTAATAAAATGTCCACATGAGATAAAAGACCTGTTCCTGTATAAAAGCTTTTGGTTTCGCAGTTTCCTCTTCAGTTATGCCCCTCTACTAAAGCCAGTGTCTCAAGCCAGGGTTCTTTGCTATGGGCACGAACCCTCCAATACCTCACTCAAATGATCATTTTTTAGGTCTAAACCTTGATAGTGTATGTCAGCAAACTAAAAGGGGGGAGTGGGGGGGGGGTCATTAAAGCCATGCCCAATCGTTCAAAGTCACGCACACATCCAGCAAGAGTTCCTACTTAGCATTCAAGAGCCTTCTTCCAACTCGAGCTCAGTCCTGAATTATAAAATGTAATTCTTTTCCCATTAAATGAACTGTAAAACTTAATGTAGGGGTTCAGATAATATTTTAAACTACAAGAGATTAGATAAAGTCATTTATTCATGTCACCTGAGAGGAAATAGAATATTACCTGGAGAACAGTGGTTTGGGAATTACTAGGCAGTAAAATTGCCTGTGAAAGACAAAGTACATATAAATCCATTCTGGTGAGCGGGCGTTCTGAGTATCCTGAAGTCAGCAGAGGATATCCATTTCATTTCTGCTTGAGTGAGAGCTCCAGCCTTGTAGGCTTCACAGAGCAGCCTTTGAGCTAAGACTTTCTCTAAAAAGAAAGGAGCAGTTACAAAATAACAATGGAGTCCAATTTGCAATTTTTCTGCATGGGATTCCCATTGGTACCAACATCTATAAGTAGATTGTGTCAGAGCTGAATTCCCACGGGTTGGAGTGACATATTCCTGATTATCAGAAGACACCCCCCCCCCCCCACTACCACCCCCATTTATGTGACTTGGATTCCTGTAAAGAAATATTGCCAATTAGACACCCAATATGGAAAGCATAATTTTGACCCCTCCCCCTCCCTTCCCCGCTTGTTCTACATCATCGAACAGCTGAGCTCTGCGATCGATGAGACACGTGGACCAGAGACACCCTCCCTCACTCTTTCTTCCCCAAACACACACACAGGGTTAACCCCACCATACCAACCGTTATTCCCCCACCCCCACACTACAGTGGGAAAAATTACCCCATCCTCTCCCCAGTTCAAGCCACGTCTGCACTTCTTTAGATAATAATAATTTGGTCACTTCAATCCAAGACTGTTTGTGGAACACTGCTGTGCGCAATTGGCTGCCAAGTTTCGCCCACAAAATATACAGTCAATTCACTTTTCCTGTGAAGGGCTTTGAGATGTCTCTAAGACGCAATAAGGCACTATAACAAATGTAAGGTATATTATTAGTATAAATGCAGTGTGGCCCTTTTATAACATGCTTCTTTATAGAGTGGATTCAGTTAGAATATGGTTGTAAAGCGGACCTCATTCACTGCTCATATGCAACCAGCCCTCTCGCTTTCCATGTCAATAGCCAACTTTCGAGTCGTTAGGTTGTCAGCAATGTCACTTGCTGCAATAGAGAGGAAGTGACATTGGCAAAGATCTGATGACCCAGAAGTCATCCATTGTAGCTTCTCGGATTAAAACAAGGCAGACTTCTGGGTCATCAGCTCACCACAAGCATCACTTCCTCCCTTGCGCGTGTGCGTCACGTAAGAAGTGACATTGGCAGGAATCTGTGTCCTGGAAGTTAGCCTTTTTGGAATGGGAACTAACCGGTGAGTAGGGAGTTAGCCAAGTGGATGTGTGCCTCATTGTACGGTTTAGATTTTATGGATCCCAACCACCCCATTATAACCAAGCTCCACCGTAAATATTTTACATTGAAATCACTTCCCTGTACAATTGCTATCTCCTCTCAATCTACATGATTTACTGGGATGCCTTGGGGACAGTGACATTTTCATTGCATGAAAGGAATGCTAATTGTTTATGATGTAAGCACTTGTAATGGGGCAGAACCCTGAACTGGAAAGAGAGGAATAAACAGATTAACATTGGGTGTTGCACTCCCACTCAAGTTATTCTGTGAAATTTCAAGACTTGGAGTTGTACAATGGACTAAAACCCACAGATGATTTTTCCAACCAGACACTTGAAGATTATGTGTCTGAATATTTCAAGGAAAAAACAGTAATGTTGGTGGTATTTCTGACCCTGTGGAGAGTGTAACAATGATCCCAGCCATGTGCTACCTGCTTTGAGACTACATTACAGAACAACCACCTATATTATAGGGCATTTGTTATAATCACGCTTTGATAACTATTTATTAAAAGATAAATGTTGTAGACAAAAAATGCAATACCTTCCCATTTTCAGAACCAAATTTAAATATCAAGCTAATATATTAGGTGCAGCACAATGCAATGTAGGGTTTGAGCAATATGCCAGTACTTGAGCTCAAAATCTAGACTGATATTCAAGTGCAGAACTATAAGAGTGCTGTTGGAAGTTCCATCTTTTGGGTGTAGTACTAAGGCAAATGCCTGTGTGCCTGATCTGATGTTTTTTTTTTAAAAAAGGGATTGTTTAAAGAGGAGCATGAAAGTATTTTGCGTAATATTCTTTCCTCGTCAAAATTCACCCAAAAAACAGATCAATTTGCTGTTGGAGTTGATGTTAGCAGCGGTCCATCTGGCCAATCTCGACTCTGCTCTCATATCTTTCATACCCCTTTATCAATTTCTTCCCATGTGCTTTGAGTGAAACTTCCAATTCGTGCTAAATGAATGATACTTTGTGTTGGGAGCTCACCTCGATAGATTGACTCCTATATTGATTTTCCCAAATCAACAGTGAAATTCCTTAAAAATCATCAGCATATTGTTTTACATCAAAGTT